TTAATAAAAAGAGAAAAACGCTTATTGAAAAGTCATCATAACTTTTTATTTTCATTTCATTATCTATCTGCAAATGCGATAACCCAAATTAATAAAGATAATAAAAACAATAAACCTAAGCAAGATAATAGACAAAACATCTCGCTCTGCTTTATCAAGGAATAAAGGTTAGAAAAATAACCCTCAAATAAGTTAATAAATAACCAATGAGAATATCTGTTTCTGTTACTGACTAAAACACACCTCTCTATTGAAATAGAAATAAAATTCACGATACGCAGATTTATAATCACTCGATGTATTTGTTTCAATTAACGTTTATCTTACTTTCTATTTTGCATTCGATCTAAAAAATAGCTTAATAACAAGCTTATTTTTAAGAACAAATTTTGATTAAACCGCGATATCGATTTGCAAAAGCAAATTTAATTAAAAACAAATCATCACTTTTTGTGTTTGTATAAAATATTAAGAAATATTATTATTATATCAAGTATTATTAAATCTAATAATACTTGATATAATAATAATAATAATAATAATATTATTATTATTATTATTATTATTATTATTATTATTTTATTTTATTTTATTTTATTTTTTAAGGTTTTAAAATAAAATTTGGGTTGAGCGATAAAATGGCAAAGGATTGATGCACCCTAAAAAATGTCAGATTTAGATGAATTAGTAACACACTTCCTATAATGCTATCTTGCAATCATTTTTTAAAACCGAAATTAGAATATCCCCTTAATTTGACGGCCTGTTTAAACTAAAATTTGACTAATAATCTACTTAAAATTAATTTATTTTGAAAATACAGTATTCGGAATTTAATTTCTACAGCCTGTTTGACAATTTATGAATTTAAATTAGATGATGTTTAATAATTTAAAGCGGTCGCGCTAATCCGAACTAATTGAAACCTGTGGTATTTTGGATGTTCGGATTAACGAGGTATAATAATAAGGTTATAATGCTTACGTTTTGAAGCAATTTTTTTTTACTATTGTAAGATACTTTACAGCAGCAAATAGAGGTTAGAATTGTTAAGTCAAATAGGGTCACAGAAAGAATGAGTAGCAATGCTCACAACACATGATTTATGTTTACACGTGAGATACAGGAATACAGTTGATGTTATTTTAGTTAAAAGAATAGGAGTTGTTCGGATTACAAGGGTTCGGAAGGCCAGGGGATGGCCATACTTAACATGTGAATAATATTAAATTAAAAAATTTTTCTTTGTGTACGCTGAAGTTCGATATTTAAATGACCATAAAACAGGTTAAATCTTTCTAAAAAATTAATTATTTGATAAACAATTTTATTTTTTAATATCTTTAAACTAATTATTATCAATATCATCTGAAATCATAAATTGATAATTAATGCATTTCATCAAAACATGTTTTGCTTATTTTTTTTTCACAAGATAACCTGATATTACTAATTTAATTTGCAATTTTTCTCCTTATTTTATGTTGCCATTGTAAAAGAATTTATTTCCACGTTGAAAATTATTTTTTAAATTGAAAATTTGTGTAGTTTTTCAAAAACTTCAATCAATAAAACTATAAATATGAAAAATATTCGATTTTTTCCAAGAAATTTCATACTTTTTACAGTAAAATCTGGAAAAAAATCAGAGTCCAATTTCTAAAACACTTATCTTAAATAGAATCATTTTCGATAGAATAAGTTCTAATTTTATCGTCATTATTAATAAAAAAAAAAGAGGGGCCATTAACTCTAGGTTTTCATCTTATCAATCTTTGAATACCGATAAAAATGTTTTTTTTTTCCTAGCAAAAATAATATTTTTCACTTTTGATTAATAGATTTTTGTCTGCGATATGAAGTATTTGCTTAATGAATATCAATATTTTATTATAAATTAAAAACAAAAACTATAATCGGAGTCAAATTATATGTAACTGCATATTGAATTGTTAGATCATTCAAAGAAACTTGATTTATAACTTTTTATGTAGAATAGAAATTAACTGAAGCATTGTCATAAATGATTAATAGCCTATGTCAGANTTTCATAGAATAATTTTTATTTTTATTTTTTAATGAATCAAAATTTAAGAAATAAAATATGTTTGACTATTCATTTAAAAATTTTCTTATAATAAAAGTAAACATTTTAATAATTAGTAACTTTGATTTTAGAGAAAAAGACAAGCATACGAACTCCCTGACGGTGCACATTTATTAATTGGTTCGATCAGAACAAATTTCTTTTGCGATAAAGATGGTTATTTTGCTGATGTAGAAAATCATTGTCAAATTTTCCACGTTTGCCATACATCATTCGAAGAAGGGAAAGAGCCAAGAACTCGACAGTGGAGTTTTATTTGTGGAAATCAAACAATATTTGACCAATTAACTCAAACATGTGCTTTCCCAGAAGATGCGGTTCTTTGCGAAAGAGCACCAGAATTTTTTTATCTGAATGAAAGAATTGGAGACCCAAATGCATTATTCTTAACAGATCAAGATATAGTAAGAGCGGAAGCAGCAAAAGCTGACCGACCATTTCAACCTCCACCGCCACCTCCAAGGATTCCACCGCCAAGACGACCAGGATTTCAGGGATAAAATTTAAAAATTTATATTAAAAATTCGGTGATGGCATTTTC